AGACTCTATTTCCAAATAAGGTCACTGTAATAGTTTGCTAGCTCTATCATAACACAGTACCACAATTGAGTGGTTTAAACAACAGAAATTTACTGTTTCACAGTTTTGGAGGCTAAAAGTCAGATCAGTGTTTCAGCAAGACTGCTTTATTTTGAAGACAGCAAGAACCTATTCTGTTCTCCTCAGCTTCTGGTTTTTGCTGCCCATCTTTGGTGTTTCTTGATCTATAAAAGAACCAAGGAATTGATTCTGATTTCAGTCTTCATCGTCACATGGCATTCATTCTGCATGTATCAAAATTTCCCTTTTTATAAGGACACCAGTCAGACTGGGTTAGGGTCTACCCTAATTACCTCATCTGATGTCTGCAAAAATCTTATATCCAAATAACCCCTAAGATACTAGGGGTTAGGGTGTCAATAAATGAGTTCAGTGGTAAAGAATTCACCTGCAAATGTAGAAGATGTTGGGAACATCCCTTGGAGAAGTAAATGGCAACCCACTCCAGTATTCTTGCCTGGGAAATCCCATGGAGAGAGGAGCCTGGCAGACTACAGTCCATGGGGCTGCAAAGAATCGGACACAAGTGAGCAACTAAACAACAACAACCCATTAGTTTGTGACTGCTGTGGTTTCCCCTCCAGATCTTGGCTGTGACTCTGGTTTGCTGTCTCTCCAAACGTCAGGGTGGCAGTCTGCCCCGCAACCTCAGTTCTCTGATGGGTTCATGAAAAGGCGCCAGTTTTCAGTTTGTTCACCTTCTTCTTGCAGTAAGGACCGGAGCAACAACTTTCAAGCTCTTTACATGTTGGAGCTGAAACCAGAAGTCGCCCTAATGTATTGAATAGTATGATGATTTTTAATATAACTTTTACATGTAATTGTTGCAATGAGAATATTGATCAGCCATCTATCTACTATATGCTACTGGTAGCAGAAGACTCCCACCTCTCTCCAATACCCTTTATATAAGCTTTTCTCAACCAATACCCTATTAAACACTATAGAAAATTATTTAAATAATTATTTTCTAAATTCTGCCAAAGATGTTACATAGCTTGCACAATGCCAGATGCATAGGAGTTAATTTATTACATAATATGGATGCCTTAGTCATTTTATCCCTATACACATTTTATGTGTATTTCTTAGAATAAAGATATTTTCTCACATAACTGTAAAGTAGTACACTCAGGAAACTCAACATCAATATAATATTTTAATATAACCTACCATCAATAGTTCAGTTTTCTCAATTGTCCCCATAATCTTTTCCCTCCAAAAGAATTGTGACCTGAATCATATATTCATTCAGTTGTCAAATACCTTAAGTCTCTTGCAATATGAAACATTTCCTCAGCTTTTCTTGGCTTTTATGTCACTGATTTTTTTTTTTAAGAATACAGGCCAGTTTTTGTTTCTTAATAGCATGTTTCTGATTTTGGCTTTGTCTGATGTTTCCTTAAGACTAAATTCAGGTTATGTATCTCTGGTCAGAATACTTCATAGTGATATTATATCAGACCCGTAGTGACCCGTATCCTTCCCATACTAGTTTCTATCACTCAGGCAAGATTATGGTCTGGTTCTCTACCATATAGTTAAGATAATACTAATCTTACCTCTGATCACACTTCACCTGAATCCTGCCCCCAGACTTTTCATGCACTGTTGATTCTTACCCAACCAATTTTTACTATAATTACTGCAATGATTGTCTCATTTCACTGCTCAGTCTACATTAATCAGAATCCTACTCTATGTAAAAGTATTCCCTTTTCCCTTTCTCTCCCTCCCATCCTCTCTCTCTCCCTCTTTCTCATCAGAACAGATTCATGGCTTCCTATTTTTTTTCACTGGGTTCATTATTGTTAATTATTCTGATGCTCAAAGAGCCCCAGATTTGGCCAGCAGGAGTGAAGCTTGTTCAAACAAGCTCTTGGGTTTTTGTTTATTTTTCTTGACATGCCATCAGCATTTTTAAAAATATGTCCCCCTGCCTTCTGGTAACAATAAGATGTTCCAGGCCTATTTTACAACCCCTCTTTCCCAAGCCTGGAGTTCAGCCATTTCTCTAACAATCCATATTTCCTTTCAGTAGGGAATGGTATTAGAAAACAAGAATGAGTGCCAGGTGTTCTCACTGCTATCATGGTAAGTTTGAGTTTAGACTTGTCATATCCAATTTGGTAGTCATTATCCAAATGTGGCCATTTAAATCAAAATTAATACAAACAAAAATTCAGTTCCTCAGCTGCACTAGTCACATTTCATATATAGTTACATGTATTTAGCAGCTACCATCAGAGAAGGCAATGGCACCCCACTCCAGTACTCTTGCCTGGAAAATCCCATGGACAAAGGAGCCTGGTAGGCTGCAGTCCACGGGGTCGCTAAGAGATGGACACTACTTCACTTTCACTTTCATGCATTGAAGGAAATGGCAACCCACTCCAGTGTTCTTGCCTGGAGAATCCCAGGGACGGGGGAGCCTGGTGGGCTGCTGTCTGTAGGGTCGCACAGAGTCGGACACGACTGAAGCGACTTAGCAGCAGCAGCAGCAGCTACCATACTGGACAGCACAGATAATTATAAAATTTCCATCATTACAGAAAGTCCTATTAGACATTATTGTTCTAGACCCTTTCACATAGCAAATCCACACATACATTTTTTCCATCTTTGTTCCAACTACTCAAGTGCTTTCTTTATCTTGACCCAAAGCCTTTCAAAATTTGGTTTATCTTTCAAAACCAACCTTTCGTGGTACATTTCTTAGTGCCTTTAACTAAGCTCCTTCTCCAACCCCCAAATATACAGTCTTTACCGATTTCAAACAAACAAAAATTTTGGTTTAGCCACTTTGGAAAACAGTATGGAGGTTCCTCAGAAAACTAAAAATAGAATTACCGTAAGATCCAGTTATGCCACTCCTGGGCATAAATCCAGACAAAACTATAATTCAAAAGGATACATGGACCCCTATGTTCACAGAAGCACTATACACAATAGCCAAGACACGGGAACAACCTAAATGACTATCAACAGATGAACTGATAAAGCAGATGTGGTGTAATGGAATACACTCAGTCATAAAAAATAACAAAATAATGCCATTTGCAGCAACATGGATCCAACTAGAAATAATCATACTAAGTGAATTATATCAGAAAGAGAAAGACAGATACCATATGATATCACTTACATGTGGAATCCAAAATATGATAAAATGAACCTAACTGTGAAACAGAAGAATCACAGACATAGAGAACAGACTGGTGATTGCTAAAAGGGACACGGTTGGCAGAGGGATGGAGTGGGAAGTTGGGGTTAGCTGATGTAAGCTTTTATATAGCAAGGTCCTATTGTATAGCACAGAAAACTATATTCAATATACCATGACACCATAATGGAAAAGAATATTAAGAAAAAAATATATATATGTGTGTGTATAGCTGAATCAATTTGCTGTGCAGCAGAAATTAACACAACATTGTAAATCAACTACACTTCAGTAAAATACTGATCAAAAAACATCTGGGTGATTTTTGTTGTTACCAATGTAAATATTAACTGGTAAAAACATGGGCTTTGGAATCAGATCTATTTCCTACTAGCTATATGACCTTGGGAAAGTTACTTAATCTCCCTAAACTTCAATTTCAGCATCTAAAGGTGGGATTAATAATGCCTCATAGTTATATGTTTGAAGACTAAAAAAAAAATAATGTACTGAATATGCTTAGCATTATGACTGGAATATGATAAATTACATGGCCTATTAGTAACAATAATATCAGACTTCTTTCTCCTTTGTTTCCTGAAAGTTTTAAATTTGTTCACTTTTCCAAGCCAATCTTTACATTACTAAGGCATACATAGTACGTTAGCAATACAGAGCAAATCCTCTAAATTATTCAAATAGATTCCTTCCAGTCAGAATATTAAGACCTATTTATATGTGAAATATTTCTCTTAGACAATTCTATTTATAACTATGAAATTATAAAATCAATTCAAATATTTATTGCTTATAGCAACTTTAAATAAAAATTGTTAAATAAAGTATAATTTCTTATATAAAAACTAAATATTTTCCTATTAGGTTGATTAATTATGTAAAATTCCTGAAAATTCTGAAATAAAACTTTGAAAAATTACAAGTTGAGAGAGCATACTAGTAACTGAACTACAAAATGGCAAAAATCAAATTATTGATAAAAATTAAAATTGTCAGAATTCATAGTCCTATTTATAAAAGGATCCTATAAAACCAAATTTGAAATTTATTTTTAATGAAACAAAGCATCTTGATTTTTTTATAGAAATATATTTAAAAATAACTAATGTAGTAATATTTAAAAACAATACTAAAGCAAAGATAAATTCCTTTCCTCTGACATATTATTTAAAATATAGAAAAAGAGCATGTTATACCTAATCATAACTAGAGATAACTCACTTTGCCCTCCATCACAGTTTATTTAAGATATGTACTGAAAGATGTAAGCCTAATATTTTGCTAATAAATGAAAAACACGCTTTTCAAAATGAATGCTTTTAGTAAAGCATATTTTATTTGTAAACAGTGTGAGCATGGTCATCTAAACTCTCACTGCTTACATGAAAAAGGGGTGCTCATCAGATTCAACAAATACTAAGCCTAAAAGGGAGAGCAATGTCTTTCCTCCAAAATAACTACAACCCTGTAGGTTTTTACCTTTTTCTTTACTAAGCAAAAGACAAATATATAACATGCCTGTGTCTTATTACTCTTACCGGTAAAATTTTAAAATCAACTTGATATGTAATTTTCTTTCAGAGTAGTTTAAGCATGATTTAAAAAAATAGAAATGTGAGAATTACAGAATACACTGCTATTTTAAAAAAATTATTAAATCTCACTTCTTCTAAATAACTATGTACAATTCATATCCTGTCACTTGTGAAATATATAGACAGTAAAATTTTTGTTCATGTTTTCCCAAAGGCAACCTTACCTGTGGAGTCCAATAAAATGGGCTCAACCTGTAGAGTTTTCGTTTGTGGAAACTCTGAAGTGGCCTTGTTCGAGCGGCTGTGCTCATGATAGTCAGGGATGGAGATTTCAGTCTTGTCCTGTCTTTTCTCCTTTTCTTACTGTGCTTCTGGTTAAGCAACCAGCTACTGGAGGAAGAGAGCTCATCTAAATTCTCTGAAGCACTGAAATGCCATGAAATAATTGGGGAGTGGAGGGAATAAAACAAAACAAACAAACAAAGACAAAGAAAACTAAATGTAAATCACCTTGATCTATTACGACAGAGGAGCATTAATTTTAGCCAATTTTGTGGTAACAACTGATGAAAGAATCAATATTAATGGAAAATTACATTTCAAGCTGTGAAAACAGAATCTGTATTTTCTCCTGCAAAATAAATATCCCATAGGTTAGAGATGCTCACATGAATTCAATAGTACAATGTAAATTTCACTGTAAATCAATAATCATGAATATTACAGTGTTAAAAGTATTTATATCAAATTCTTTTTCAATAAGGGTGAATTTACACAGGATTGTAGATTTTTAAAAGGCTAACGTCTCATCACTACATCATTAGCTGTCTTACATAAGCATTACATATCTTTTCAGGGAATTCTGAAACAAAGATGCAATATGTCTACATTTTAAGAATTTTTAAAAACTGATGACATAGAAGACACAAACTATAAAATATTTTATCAGATCACACAAACTACACATGAAAATAAGCATAATTTTATAATTATCTCTCATTAATTTTTAAATATTTATTTAAATATTTTAGAACATCAGGAGGGAGTTAATGCTTATCTCCACATAAATTTAACTTTATTTATACCAGTATATTACATATAAAATATTCAGCTTTTCAGCTACTATAATCTACGAGTTCAACCTTATTTATATAAACAAAAGCTAGCCAACTTAGTATTCTAAGATCAACAAGTGAATCTATATGTGCTATTGCTAATCACAAATAAATTCTAAATGTGCTATTTGGTTCAAGTAGAATCAGTGTTTAAAGGTAAACATAAGATATGGTTTTTCTATAGCTGTATCACTGGTTTTGAATATTTATGTCTGCAAAATATTCTATTATCTTTCAGATAAAGCAAGTAATTCAAGAATACTTTATATAGTAGTAAGAAACTAGAAATAAGGGTACCTGAATGGCTTCTGTTGGTGAAACCAAAAGAGAATAATAAAATATGGAATTTGGTAATTACATACAAATATATAATTGAGTATGTCTATTGGCCAGACCAGTATAGGGAAAAAAATCTGATGATAAATATTTTAAAAATATTAGCTTCAGTCTTCAGAGAGCTCTAGTCATGAATGTTTTAATTGTCAGTTAATAAATATTCTAAAGATTGTCTATCTGAGAAAGGTTTAAGATATACCAATACTCTCAAATTAACAGGTACAGTCTCATATACTGGTGTTACTTTTTGTAAGATGTCATATGTATTACTATAAAAACTTGAAGTGTACAAAGTGCTAAGTGACAGTCTGCTCTTGAGAAACCAGCCTTTGATCTGGGCTACCACGTCAAGGGTAAACAGAAGGCATAAGTGACAGCCAGTATCAAGTTGGGTACGAAGCATGTCAGGAACAGAAGTGAACCAAGGTCAGGAAGAAGACCGGTTACAGTGGGTGGTTAGTACCAGAGGTGATCACATCAGGACAGTGAGGATTCAGGGACATAGGACTAGATCCAGCACAAAAGGCAGCTCTCCTAGCAAGTGGGAAATATCTCTAGGCAGATGGCACTGGATCCTTAGAGAGACATTGCTTGGGTAATGTCTAGGGATAATGAAGAGTTTCTATTCTAGCAATCTGGAGCACAGTTAATCATTTCTTTCCTCTGTTCAGTTCTCTAGTTATTAATGGGCATTTGTTTCCCCTCCCCTGCAGGAGGTATGAGGAGGTGAGCCACTATCTTCTCACTAAATAACATCTCTCAGCTTTTGAACTGGTGAGAGGCTCACAGGCTAGTTTAAAGATAAATGGAAAGCTTATCATTTGTGTCCCTAAATGTTATATTTTCAAGTTTCAAAGACTAATACAATATCATCAGAAAAAGCTCACCAAAGTTGGCACTTCAGTCACTTTATAAATAACTGATGAAAGTGAAAGTGTTAGTCGCTCTGTCGTGTCAGACTCTTGGTGACCCCATGAGCTGTAGCCCACCAGGGAATCTTCCCAACCCAGATATCGAACCTGCATCTCCTACGCTGGCAGGCAGATCCTTTAACCACTGAGCCACCTTGGAAGCTGTCGTAAAGGGTTTTGCAAACCACTGATAAACTCACTTATTCTGCCCGATGGTTTACACCAAAGGGGATGAATCTTACTGAAAAGGAGAACAAAGGAAATTATTTGGAGGACAACACAACGCTGCCGAAGTGACTCTATAATCCAAGGGTATTTTTCCCCTCAGGAGACTAACAATCCAATAACTGGCACTAGTGGTGAAGAACCTACCTGCCAATGCAGGAGATTTAAGAGACACAGGAGGAGGAGGAGAAAACCCGGGAAGGAAAAAACATTTCAATAAGAGACAAGGCTAAGTTTTCCCACAGAGCTGTGGGTACACCTAGGAAACTCCAGAAACTGAGAACTGTCAAGTACCGTCATAACTGTCACAAAAATTATCAATAAATGTCAACATTTAATTTTGAAATGGCATTTTTACAAGTGGGATAGTACCAGATAAGGACACAAATCACACTCCTTTAGATTTGTAACTGGAAGCTTTTGTTCAGAGAACAATAAAAATCTCCAAAAGGATAGCCTAGGGCCACTGTGTAATAGGCAGATAGTACAACTTGGCTCTAAAATAAACAAAATAATTGAGGATAGGGAAGAAATGAGGGGGTTTTTAGGCTTACACCTTTCTCCATTTCCACTACCACTCTCTTAATCCAGGCTCTTTTCTGTCAGAATTCCTACTATACTCTTGTAACTGACTCCCCTCATTCACACTTTTTTCCATCCAGTCCCTTCTAATCTTTCAGGAAAACAAATCTGGTCCTGTTTTACCCCTTCCTCCCATGCCTAAACTGCTTAAAATCTCTCAAAGCCTTCTCATTGCTCTTGAGAAAAATACTTAAATCCTTAATGGAAAAGGCCCTGATTGATCTACTCTCTCAGCCTCCTCATGTGTCACGGTCCCTCTTCTTCCCTGTGTTCCAGCCACATTGCCTCTTTTAATTCCAAATAACTCACACTTGCTCCAGTACAAGACCTACTTTATGTAATATCTGCTTCCAGGCATTTTCTCACATCCTCCTTCACTTACATAATTTCCAAAAACCATTTGGCTCTCAGTTCAAAAGTTAGCACCTCAGGTAAGTCTTTGAGCCCTTGCATAGTCTCTCCAAAGACAAAGTCAAATTATCTTATGAGTTCTTTTCTTCATAGAATTTTTCATGATGCCAATTTTACAACTATTTGTGTTACTATCTGATTAGTATCTTTTTCCTTTTCTAAAACTGTAAGTAATACAGAGACTATGTTTTAACTTTTTCTCAGAAGTTCCTGACACTATACTTGGCATACGACAGTTCAGTTCAGTTCAGTTGCTCAGTTGTGTCTGACTCTTTGCTGCCCCATGAACCGCAGCACACCAGGCCTCCCTGTCCATCACCAACTCCCGGAGTCCAGCCAAACCCATGTCCATTGAGTCAGTGATGCCATCCAACTATCTTATCCTCTGTCATCCCCTTCTCCTCCTGCCCTCAATCTTTCCCAGCATCAGGGTCTTTTCAAATGAGTCAGCTCTTCACATCAGGTGGCCAAAGTATTGGAGTTTCAGCTTCAACATCAGTCCTTGCAATGAACACCCAGCACTGACCTCCTTTAGGATGGACTGGTTAGATCTCCTTGCAGTCCAAGGGACTCTCAAGAGTCTTCTCCAACACCACAGTTCAAAAGCATCAATTCTTTGGTGCTCAGCTTTCTTCACAGTCCAACTCTCACATCCATACATGACCACTGGAAAAACCATAGCCTTGACCAGATGAACCTTTGTTGGCAAACTAATGTCTCTGTTTTTTAATATGCTGTCTAGGTTGGTCATAACTTTCCTTCCAAGAGGCAAGCCTCTTTTAATTTCATGGCTGAGTCACTATCTGCAGTGATTTTAGAGCCCCCCAAAATAAAGTCTGTCACTGTTTCCACTGTTTCCCCATCTATTTGCCATGAAGTGATGGGACCAGATGCCATGATCTTAGTTTTCTGAATGCTGAGTTTTAAGCCAACTTTTTCACTCTCCTCTTTCACTTTCATCAAGAGCCTCTTTAGTTCTTCTTTGCTTTCTGCCATAAGGGTGGTGTCATCTGCATATCTGAGGTTATTGATATGTCTCTCAGCAATCTTGATTCCAGCTTGTGCTTCATCCAGTCCAGCGTTTCTCATGATGTACTCTGCATATAAGTTAAATAAGCAGGGTGACAATATACAGCCTTGACGTACTCCTTTTCCTATGTGGAGCCAGTCAATGCTCAACAAATATTTATAGAATGAATGGAGAAATTATTTTCAGATTATCACACATATTATTTTCAGATTTATCACTCCAGCTCTATGCTTTGCACAGGGTATATATATACACAACATAATGTGAAAGTGTTAGTTGCTCAGTCATGTTAGACTCCTTGCAACTCCATGGATTGTAGCTCACCAGGCTCCTCTGTCCATGGAATTCTCCAGGCAAGAATATTAGAGTGGGTTGCCATTTCCTTCTCCAGGGGATCTTCTGGACTGAGGGACTGAACCCAGGTCTCCTGCATTGCAGGCAGATTCTTTACCATCTGAGCCACTCGGGAAGCCTATACCTTATATGGGAAGCATATAACACTACCCACCTTACCTAAATAGTTTAGTGAATGAGCACCATGGAACATTATAGTTTAAGAGCCAAAAGAAGCTCTATAGAAGGTTATAAGAGAGCATTTAGAAAAATAAGACATATTTACACTGCCTTGAGTTCCATTCTAAATCTCTTAACTTTCACTTACAACAGCTAGTTTCTGATAGTAAGCTATGATATAGCTTATAATCATATATGCCCATTATAAATGTATAAGTCTAATAAAGCAGATGAGAGCTGTAAGATATTTTGATTTGTAAAAGAGAAAGCATGGATAAAGTTTAAATTTTTTCTTCTAATTTA